CTGGGAAAACAAATCTGCCCATGAGAATCTGGCCAGGATCAGGTTCGTAACGCGGGCAGCTGGCGGAGAGCTCTGAGGCGGCGCCTCTGCTACGCCTGCTTTTCAATGCATCGTCAAACCTGCATCGTTGCTTGCACTTGTTCAAAACCTGTTCTGAACACACAGTTTTCCTTCCCTGATGTCCTAAAGTATTATCATTTGTTTGGTTGGTTTTCATTTTTTAAGAACTCATAACGTCATTATCCTGAAGCAGGATGTCTACTTTATCGAAGTGATGTCAGGACTTCCTCTCTAGAGCTCTTTTTTTTTTTTTTTGAGAAGAATCCTATACTTTCTCCATTTAGATTGCAGATTTATGAAGACACTATAAACAGCTGAAATGGGCATAATAATTGCCRGTGTTTAACTGAAGGAAACTTGAAATATTTCACACAACAAAATGAAACATATAGATAGTGCATATATTTTAGAGATAYTGGGTAAGCCTATTCTCCTTGTTAAGCCAGTTACCATTTGAGTGTTGCTAAGGATGATGTCAAAAAATCTAGGACAGCATTATGCTGGTGTTCAAGTTATTTATTTGTTTATTTTACCTTCAGAGAAAGGAGAATTGGGCCCTTATTTCACTAAAAGTGCAGACATTATATTTTCTATGCATTGCAATCTAGCAAGATTTTKTAAGCAGTAAAGCATGCTCAAAGGGTCATTGCGGATCTCTTATGAACGGTCCTTCGATTCCAACTGCCTGCTCTGCTTATTGTGGACCTCCTCCGCTTCCTCTGAATGGCATGTAACGTTAATGGGAAATTTTCCACGATAGTAACGCTAAAACCACTGCTTACAATTAATTAAACGTGAAAAACTGAGTGGGCAAAAAGTTGGGAGGGATGTCATTCTTCTAGAAAAAAAAATATATTCTTTTTCCTCAGACAGCTCTGAAGCAAATTGTTTTGCTTTCTAACACATAAAACATGCAAAGGAACCTTTGCAGGTGACCGCTGCTAAATAAAGGCATAGGAGAAATAACACATAATCTTATGGGACTTTAATCTGGACAATGTGATAAGAGCCTCAATAAGCCAAAAATGTCTTCAGAATGATGGGGATTTCTAGACTGAAAAGGGAATAAGGGAGAAATTTCAACAAAAAAAATCACAGAGATAAAATAAAAGTGATCACTATTAGGTCAAAAGAATGGCAACTAATGCAACTATGGACACTGCATTTTGTCAAACAAACTGGGCACACCTTTTGGATATTACAAGTTTGCTTAACAGTAAAAGTATCTGTATACAATAGACTTCAGCTAAATGCCTTGTGTCTTTTTGATCCAAGCAGTTAGCGAATACTAAGGATAAAGCAGTTTTCTCACTTTAGGTGAACCTGCTGATGCAACTCATCCTTCCTGGAGGCAACTCTGTATTTTTTAACATCAAATCTGCTTTCCTCAAGCACATCAGAAGATGGTGTCTTTGATCACCACATGCATCAACAAGAATTCTGCGGGAAAAAAAAAATCTCCCTCTAGACTATTTTTCAAGATCTACTCCCATATGTTGTGCTCAAATGCTTATGGCCTACGGGCACTTCTTCTTCCAGGCCAGAAATAAAAAAAAAWAATAATAAAAAAGATGAAATARGGAGTGAASCTCTGAGCCAACACATGTCCTGCGTGGCTGGTGGTCTGCAAGGGTCTTAGATATACTTTCAGTTATAAGTTATATTCAGATATATGAATTTAATAAGATTCAGACCAATCCTCAATTAGTGCCTATTTTACTATTAACTTTATGCAGTATGTCTCTCTACTTTTCCTTCTAGAAATACACTTTTGCAATTCATTTTGCATTCTGAACATAGAAGTCTTCAACTCTATCTTGAACAGCAGCGTTTCTGAAAGCTCTCTAGCGGAAACTTTAGCAGACCTGATTATTTTCTTCTTTTGTGTTGACTGACAGAAGAGAGACCTGTACAATTTTCATAACACAAACACACGTACATAATTCAGATGTACTCTAAGATGCTGTCACATTTTAATTTAATTTAATTTAATTTAATTTAATTTAATTTAATTTAATCTAATTTAATTTATTGCCTTCAGGTATGGAAAAGAAGCACTTGACAATGTAACTAGATATAGCATAGTAGTGTTATATATAACTAGATGTAACAGAGCAGCAGCAGTCATGGTAGCTTAAACGGAATTCACATGCAGCATTATAGTGAAAATAATTAAGAAATTAGAAGTGTATGGCCATTAGCACAGATGAAAACTAATCTGTGCCATCTCGTGAGGATTTTAAAAAGATAATATAAAATTAATATTAAAATTAATATTAAARCAAAACCGAGCAAACGCTTCTCTTTCCCGGGACTTTGCACATTCCCCGCGCGCTCCCCTCACGGCTCCCGCGGCGGGACTACAGCTCCCAGCATGCCTTGCGCCCCTCCCGCCCCGGGCAGCCCCAGAGCCGCCTCCATTTTGTGCGGCGGCGTCGCCAGGGGGAAGCCTTCCCCGTTCCCCCTGGACGAGCCCTCCCGGGGTGGGAAGTATCCGTAAACACCGCGTCTCGTGAGCCATCAGGGAGAGCTACGTTGATATACTTGCTCAAATAAATAAATAAAATAAAATAGCCGTCATGGTCCGGTGGGTTGCCCTTTGGCTGCGATGGCTTGACGGCAGTTTTGGGTTTCCTCTCCCAGGCATCTTCATTTCTCAGAGGAACTGCGGAATCGTATTTCTTTCCTGGAAGTGGTACAATGTCCTGGGAATCTCTTTAAAATATGCAGAGGGTCAGCTCATCCTTTTTTTTTTTTTTTCCTCATTTCAGGCATTGAACCCATAGAAGTCAAGCCTTGTAGAAGCCTGCATATTTTTTTTTTTTTTAATGGACTTGCTGGATGAAAGTGAGCTATTTTATTCTTATTCACCATTGCTCCTTTTGGCATGCTGAGGCATTTGGCAATCCTTGCTGAGGACAATGTGGCACCTTTGACAATGGGTGCTCTATTATTATTAATATACATATTTTTTAGTATATTTAGTCATTTCCAGGGTAACACTACCACAGAGCTGGTTTAATGTTTATATTTTTCTTCTTTTCCTGATTGTGCTTATCTTTCTGTTCTCGGAGCTCCATCTGGGTGTATTTCAGTTAAGTGCAGCCCACGTCCAGGTTTTCAAGCGTCTCGCCAAGAGACCTGGCACAGCGTGGGATCTTCTGGCAAGGGTCATCTGCAGGAAGGTGGCCGGGAGAGATAAGCGCGTACACGCTCCTGTGCGTGTTCGCAAATGGGGGCCAGGGAGAAGGGGCAAAAACTGCACAGTAAAGGGCCTGTGTCACAGACCTGTACACAGGCATTAGAAACGCGGCACGAGAAGAAATTTGAGGCAAAAGGAYGGAGGAGCACAGTCTGGGAGGAAACCATGATATGGGCTGAGACCCAACCGGGAGAAGCTCGTGCAAGTGGAACAAGAAGCAAAGAGTCCGGGAACGGAAACCCGTGGGGAGGGACCACCGGGCTGGTCTTCGAGGCAACATGGAAATAGTGGAGGCTTTTAGGGCAGAAATGGCTGACACATCACCAGGTGTTGAATACCTAGCACCTCAGTTYGGAGGGAGGGACACATGCAAGTTTGTTGTATCACTTTTGTGTGTGTGTTTCTCTTAAACATGTTAGTGCCTTGCAGTCTGCTGATGATCTGCAGGTGTCCAGCACCACTCATTTTTTAGGAGCTCCCCTAAGATCTTCTGCAATTGCCCCACTCCTTTTCGGGGACTGTTTTTTGATCCAGGCAGTACAGAGCACTAAAGCCATCCAGAGTTCCCTTCTTCCCTCAGTTTTCTCACACTTCCTGTCTCCTGCAAGTTTAAGGGGCCTCTCTACCCCATTTCACCAGCAGCTTTCCCCTTATCTCCCYGTGAAAAGTACCAAGTTCTGAATGAAAGCAAACTCAGGACTCAGTAGCCCCTATCATCTATCCTCCAGTGTACTCTCACAGTCTTGCTCCACGGACTTTTGGATACTTTTTTTTTTTTTTTTTTTGGTCCCTCAGAAACTTCCAGGTAGGGCATTAGTTTCCCATTCTTCTCCACCATGACTATTTCTGCAATTTACATTCGCAGGACATCGTGTAAGARTCTGGACACTACCAACACGACTCCAACCCCAGGAAACCGCGCTCCCAGCCGGAGCCCGTACTTATTTCTGGGTTATTATCCCATAGGAATGCAGAAGGGTGCTA